CATCTCTACTGAAAATAGAAAAAATTAGCCAGGCGTGGTGGTGGGCACCTGTAGTCCCAGCTACTCGGGAGGCCAAGGCAGAAGGGTCGCTTGAGTCTCACTCTGTTGCCCGGGCTAGAGTGAGTGCCATGGCGTCAGCCCAGCTCACAGCAACCTCAAACTCCTGGGCTCAAGCAATCCTACTGCCTTAGCCTCCCAAGTAGAAGGGACTACAGGCATGCGCCACCATGCCCGGCTATAAAGCTTCATTTTAATTAACAAGAAAATTTATAAATTGTTGAAAAATTAATCTGAGTGCTTTCAGACCTGAAAATTAGGGTGATGTAGCTCTGTATCCAGAGTGACAGGAGGCAGCAGGATTTGCTGGGTGACTGTAGCTGACTTTCACTATCTAAGTAGTTCCTCTTTCATTTAAAAATGAAATAAGGAAGAAGGAAGAGCAAAGAACCACTTACGGGTCAAAGACAAGCCGTGTGATGTACTCCTTTGGCATTCGAGGCAGCTGATGGGAGAACACGTTCTGTAGGCCGACCAGCCACATCAGGATCTTCTTGTTTGGTTTCTGGTTCAAGGAATTGCCGACCACGTGAAATTCGATTACACCCCTGCGCTCTTCCAGCCTTGCCGCCTCATCCCTGGCTGAATGTGCTGACAGCAAACTGGTCTGGGATGCAGAAGACAGGAAAAAATTACACAGGGTTATTCACTTAAGACAGTGGGGATGGGACACATCAAAGCTTCTCGTCTTTGTTCTACTGAGATACACATTTGTGGATTTTCAGGGTCCTAAACACACACACACATTATGAAGACAAAATACAAAAGGCAGGTAAAGCATTTTGAAAAATCAAAGTATTACATGTGTACATGAATGATATCCGGTATGGACTGGGGGTCAGCAAACTTTTCTGTGAGGGGCCAGATAGAAAATGTTTTAGACATTGTGAGCCAAAAGGTCTCTATCACAACTACTCCACTGCTATTACAATGCAAAAGCAGCTCAGCTATAAACAGTATGCTAAAGAATGGGTTAGGCAGCGTTCCAATAAAACTTTATTTAAAAACAAAAAACAGAGCAGATCAGATTTGGCCTGTGGGCTACAGATTGCCAGGCCCTGGTTTAGAGAAATCCCATCCAACAGAGCTTTAAAGACCCTTGGGAATGACAGACCTAAATTCTCATTACAGGCCCAACAGTGGCAGTCACATTTACATTCTTAACACCTCTTTTGGAGGACAGTTTGCTTTCCAGAGGAATATCTGTTGATCCACGTACAACCACAGCTGGCAGCACAACCTCGTGCCAGCACTTTAGGCTCCCCATCCTACTGAATCCACCCCGTGGTATGCAGGTAAATGCTCAATGAACAGCTCTCCAGGGAAGAAAAGCCCTAACTGATAGCACTTGCTCATTTCATTAGCCTGCAGCTGGCTGTCCAGGTGACCAGGTGCCACTGCGGTCAATTTCAAGCTACCAACATATTTAACAACCAGCTCACAAAATTTCCAAAAATTTAACAATTTTACTGTACATGCCAATACAAGCCAGGGCCGGCACACAACTAAATCCACCCAACAAATTTTGAAATGTATGGTTGCAGCCTCGTTTTACATTTGAAAAAACTAAACTCATTTTAATCTGTGAAGTTACTAAATCCCTAAAAACCTAGTCTGAAGCCCCAACAGACTGGATATCTAGAAGGAAAGG